AATGCCAATTCTTTTCCATCATACTTTACAGAAATCACTCCTTGTCCTTATGACACCACCAGTCATGCAGAGATCTGAGAGGGGTCATCTCCAAAGGCATTTGTTTGGCCTCTATCACCCCCAGACCAAACCAGGTACCTGCTAAGTCTGAGGTGTCTTCTATACCCAGTGGCATTGTCACTGCTATGGAAAGTGCTGAACATCTGAGCTACAACTCAGATCAACTTCAGCTCCTTTCCACTGGGATAGCAGAGTCTGCAGCCTCCTGGAGAAAAATAAAGACATAAAAAACAACCAAGACATGTATTGATCACCCATTCACACACCTCTGCACTTACAGCCAGCTCAAATCAAAAAGGGCGAAGTAACCCTGAGGGTCTCCCAGTGCTGACAGAGACAGAGAGGAATGGGCACAGCAATAACTGCATGCCACACTAGACTGGTACAATCTCTAAGGGAAAAGCCACACATAGAAGGGTTTACACAACACAACAAAATTAATAGGGGGACGGAAACATATTTATGAGACCTGGATCCACAAATGGGGGAAAAAAGAGAAAAAACAATTTTGAGAAACCAAATCCTTTCTCACGTCCCTCAGGATCTTGTGAATATGCCCAAAATCTTATCTGTCCTTTAACTCTATCAGTTCCAGCTCAGAAAAAATACTGTCTCCCTGTAAATTTTGTCTCACTGGCATCCTTAGGTCACCAGCACCATAACAGCAGTGCCAGCAGCCATCATGTCACACATTCTGAAGAGTTCCATCACTATTTCTGTCCATCTCCTGATACCTAGGCTCCTGTGGGAAGACACAGCCCACACACAGGTCAGCACTGGGAATGTCATCCCCCTCCACCAGCAGCCAGGCTCATCCACAGTGGGAGTCCAGACTCCCAGAGGCACCAGTGAGCCACTGAGGTGCTTGCACATAACCAGGAACAGCTCCTTTAATTTAGCAGTTCTCAGCTCTCCATGGCAGCTATGGGTCTGCCCACAGGAATGCTGCTCTCTGCAAAAAGCCCCATCCCAGAGCAAAGCTGATTCCCAGGGAATGCACTGCCCTGTGCCTGCCCCTCAGACCCGCCAAATGAGCAACACTGTACTGGGACTTCTGTGGCCCAGACTTTCCTCACTGCCTGGAATAAGCAGTGACATTTGTTCAGGTTTTCCTTCATTTTCAGTGGAAATTTTTGATCTGTTGACAAAGAAATATACACAGATCATTCCTAATCTTCTCTTTAAAGAACCAAGTAGCATTTATATTATTTGTTTACTTGTAAGAAGATAAAAGGGTTTTCTCCAAACAATGCTCTCACTCAAAATAGAATTTCCAGAAAAATAATTGCTATTTTCATTAAAGCCTATATAATTTTCAGCACTTTTCAGCAACCTGAGCAATTGCATTAGAAACCCTGACAGAAGACTTGCTTGAAAAATACCATTCCCAGAATTCCCTCTGTAATTTATTTTTTAACATATAAATTCTCCAAAGTATCAGTACTCTAGACTCATCCCAAATTACTACCTTTGATCCCTGTGTCTTATAATGTAAGCTCTGCAGATAAGAATACCAAAGCAGTTCAGGTAATTGTCGGGAAATCACATATTTTAGGCTGTTGTAGGTTATGTTTGCACCTAAGTTTGAAAAGTGATATTGTTTCAGTAACAAGTACTCACTGGAGCACAGCTATGTAATTGAACATGGACATTAAATGGCAAAGTTGATCATCAGATTAGCTCCTCCTGCTATAGTACACAAGTCCAGACATTCCAAGGTTTTCTCACAAATACATGACTTGTTTTGCAAGTTGGATGATTTTTAAGCATTAATCATGAAAGAAGATTATGATATTGGCTCCTGGTTACATCAGACCAATACTGTGAAATGAATGAAAATTTATACATACAAGATATGGTAAGATTTTCTCTTAATGTATCAATTTATGCAGAATGATCCAATCCAATCCTAGTGACATGATAGGCATCATTAAATAAATATTGATCAATCAAATAGAAAGTCAGTCAATAAATTCACAGTGATCACCTACTGCTTTCTTCATAATAATTCTTCCTACTCTCTCTTAGTAGCTATTTCTTTCTTCCCTCCACATTACCTTTTATATCTTTCCTCCTGAGCTATATTATTTTTCTCTTTTGCCTGGTAACAAGTGCCAGTCTTCAAACTCTCTTCAACAAATAAAATTTTCAAGCATAAGATCATTCTCATTTTCCTCCTTTGTACTGTAATTGTGAAAGATCCTTTCAGAAGTGCTGCATAACAGCAATTGTTGATTTATAATGGCATTATAATATCTTCTGGGTTCTTCTTTCCTCTATCCATTATGGCTCATAGTATCATGTTTGCTTTGAGTGCAATTACACAAGTTAATACTCCCCAGGAATCTTACAGCACAGGCCTGGTTATCAACTTGGTTATAATGGATATTCACTAGTAAATAACTCTATGCAGATAATCTAAGACATTGATATCAATATCTGGAATTCATCTTCCCAAATTTTAACTGTCAAAAATTTCGTCATTTTCACTAAGTTCTACTTAGGTTCCTTCTAATATTAATGAGAAAGGCATACTCAAAGAGAGACCTATCTCATGTTAAAATAGGTGAAATAAGAAATATATTGCCCCTGAAGGTTTTTATCTCTCTAACTTAAGAGAAGCACTGTCTACAGATTTAGACTAAAAATCTACTGGTTTAATGACAAAAGTTTAAAAAAACAAGTTCCTCTCTCCACTCCAAGACATTAATTCTAATTTGTTCCAGAACAGACATATCAGAACTCATGCACCAATGCTTTATGCAGCTATTAAACCTCACCAGGTTCTTAAAACTTAATTTGATATTTATTTATTCATCTCTGTCTAATATTTTAAATTCTAAAGACCTGGCTCCTACACTTCTGTCCAAGATTATCCAGACTGAACAATACACGTGAGACATTGCAAGCAGTCAATCTGACACATCCCATAATAGGCAGCAATACCACATGGTTTGTGAGACTAATACATCCAGGACACACCAGCACTCCTACATATGTACCAAGCAAACAGTCTGCATAGTCCATTGACCGTGTCCTGGATTTATCACACCTTCAGCTCAGAGTGTTCTGGGAATCTGAAGTCCCTGTGTGTCACTCAAGCTCTGCATGGGCTCAATCCCTGCCCAGCATCTGCAGCCACTCACTCACAGCAGGCTGCTGGACAGGCAAAAAACACTGCCAGGGTGATACAAAACACAGGGAAAGGGATAGACAGCCTGGGAATGGAGAGCCTCCTGCACAAAGCAGCAGCAATGTTCTGTGTGTATATGCAACAGATTTTTCCAGTGTGGGGATATGATTTTCAATTCAAACACCTATTAAGCTATAATGAAACCTTGCTAAGAATTGTCAAGACAATTGAGTATTACATGTACATACATGCATGTGTTTGTACACACACACACGCACACGTTTTTTAACTTGAAGTTTTTAGCAGCTAATAGCCCGAGCTTCTCACTGCTCATTTGAGGCAGAGGAACACACACACCAGGCCTGTGTCTTCACTGTGAGATCAAGATTCTAAACAGAGTGGCCTTGTTTAAACACAGATAAAAGCTGGGAAGTGAGAAACATCTGTAAGGCCTCATGCTTAAAGAGTTGGATGTTCCACAACACCCTTAGCCACAGACATAAACCCCCACATTAAGACAGTCTCCCTAAAATACTCCTTGGAGAGCAGAGCATTTATCTATTGGAAAGCCATTGCTTTTAGTCAAATCATGACTTACTAAGTTGCAAAAACTGAATTCACAGTGTTTTCTAGCAATGGCCTCTCCAGTGAGGCCAAAAGAAGCAGTAGCAGACTGGGTTTCATGGGGATTGAGGGGAGCTGTGGCTCCATTGCAGTAGGTCATCTCCAGAGCAGCAGACTCCCCTGCTTCCAGAAATCTGCCAAGTCTTGCTCAAATGCATGCAGTTTTATTACTGCAGTCCACCCAGGCCACAGGGATCCAGTCTTCTACATAATCCCAGCACAGACTTATCATTCTTGCCTCTTATAAGAAAGTCTGACAATAAACACAGCAAATCTTTCTCATAATTTCGATGCAATCAAGAAAAATTCTCACTCATGGAAATAAAATAGGAGTAACCCAGTCTTACTCAAAAAGGGGAGCATGTGTCATTTTTGTACCACCTGAATGCAGTCTTCATCTCATTTTGTTCCCCCTGCTTCAGCCCTGGTGACAAGCAGTTAACATCACCATGTCTGTAATTACTGTGTCTCCTGAGCTTCCTACGATCTGGAATCACTGCAGCCTGGCTCTCAGTTTTCAACCAAATGGTACATCTTCAGGAAGTGATCTTCCAGACTGTACTATTCATTCTCAGGCTTCTACAGACACGAAATTTAGAGAGATGGCCCTGTTCCATCCAGCCCATGTATTCTTAAAAAATCTCAAAACCACATAGTTTCTCAGTCGATTTTTAACACTTTCTCCTCATCTACACAATCATTACCAACTGACAAATTTACAGACACCTTTCACTTTGAAGTTGCCCTGCAACATCCTTTCTCAATTTTTCTACTATTTTACCTCCTACTACAAATTTTGGTTCACTCTATTAGTATTACTTGACTGTCAAATCAGCATAAACCTTTCCAGTTGCTAAAATAATCGTTCACATGTTTCTTTTGTTCATCTCTGTTCTCCCCAAATCATTTGTAGTCCCTTTGTATTTTACAATTAGCCACACAAATAGCAAGTTGTGAAATCCATGGACCCTTAATGAACAAACTTGAAAAATATATGATTTGAGACAAGCGATGAGCAGAGAGATCAAGTGCTCTACCCTAGACTGCAGAGCCAACAGGATGAACTCCCACCTCTTAAGAACTGCTGTCCCATGTGCTTATCCTAAGAATATTCTAAAATATCCTAAGAAAAAGTATCTTGTGCAGGCAGAATTCATGTGCTGTTTGTATGAAGGCAACGTACCTGGATGAAGATGTATTCATCCTGAACAACCAGGGAGCTGACGTCGATGGAGCGCGGAAAGGGCCCGCTCCTCTTGGTCTCGGAGCACTCCTGGATCCGACAGGTCAAATAGTGGGTGTCTGCAATGGGAGCACAGGGACACATCAGAAATGCCCAGGTAGCAGCCACTTGTCTGTAAACACCATCAGCAGCTCCAAAGAAGGTCTTATCTCCAGCTAGGGAGATGCTATTCCAGGATCTGCCTCCAGCCTTTGACACTGTAACTGCTCTCTGAAGCTAGAAATTCACCATACTTCAGCATTGGCCATTCCCTTCCCTGCTGTGCAGACATCCCTCAGGAGACTGAAGTTCAAACCATAAATGGAGGCTACCAACCATAAACGCATGAAAAAGCTGCTGATGAGACCATAAAGAGCAGAAGCCATCCAGGTAGAATTCACCAATTCCTATATCCTTCTGGAAATCATACCACTGTCTTCCCTCTGAAACCCCCTAGCCTTGTTGACTGGTTTTAATTGTTGTAGTAAAACACAAATCAACACTATTAAACTGAACTTATTTTTCCGTGAAAATCACAAGCATCTGCCAAAATTAAGTTTTTATAGCAAACATAGGCTAGGAATGAAAATCCACAGCCATGAAATAGCATGAGTAGCTGAAGATTCCTAAGAGTAGTTATATGCACTGCATGAAGCATCAAATGTTTCTGTCTAGAGAGAAGAACAGAAGATCATCACACTAATGGGGTCCTGTCAGGCCTTGACATTGCTTGAGAGGAGGAACAGGATTGGGGGAAGAATGTGAAGACAACAGAAGGAAAAGGCAGATATACAGAAAGTTAGAACAAGAAGAGATGTGCTCACCTCCAGTAAATTGAGAGAGGTTATAGGGGATTAAGCATTATTTCACTCAGGCTAAGAAAAGGCCTCATGAAACAGAACAATGAATGCACTTTGTTTCTGGATGTGTGTAATCTAAATATGCCATCTCTGCTTTTCAACTGCTCTTCTGAAAGCTGCAAATTAGGAAGAAAATAAAAATACTACTAAGATGACAGCTAGAATGATAAAAGGGTCATATCTTTTGCACTCTGGCACTTTTACAGACCTCCTAGATTCAAATGCTTCTTTGCTTTTCTACAAAGGGTGACAGAACATCAATGAAGTAAACAGCAAGTTTGTAAGGGCTGGGGTGAGCCTGGTGCAGCGATTTTAGCTCACAACAGAGCCTTCTGACATGGACCTTGTCAAACTGAGCCCAAAATGATAAGAAAAGTTTAAAATGACAGTCAGTAGCCCAACAAAGCTGCTTACAGGATTCTCCATCATCACAAAAAACCTGCCTTGTCCTTGGTCTGTGTCCTTTCAGTGACAGCAATATGTGGGGCAGTGGAAAGCTCTGGGGGGCACAATTGAAATCCTCTGAGATTCAGCCAACTGCCTGCCCAAATTCTAAAACAAGATTCATAGACTTGTAGTTTCCTCTTTTATAGTCTTGTCCCAGAAACAATCTTAAAAATGCAAAAATAATGCAAGTCAGAGGCATTAATAATTAGACTAAAAATTTCTAAAATATTTTGTCTAAAGGAGTCACAAACTACAGCCAAGCTTTAATCTACGAAAGGTCCATGCCCAACCACCCAGTGACTGAAGGCCCAGCCCTGTTTAAAGGCTGCAGACCTGGTTCTGGGTTGATGCACCAGGGATTCCAGGTTAATAAGGGCTGAGTCAGAGCAGTCACACAGGTCTGGTGCAGTAATGAAATCGTAGTCCCACTGAGGATGCTAAAGCAGCAGAAAATGTTGCTGGTGCCAGCTCAGAGTACTGGGCAGTGATTAAAGTGTATGGTGAAAAACACCTGACCTAGAGACAGTGCCAACAACCACAGTATCAGAGCTGTGCTTTCTCCCAGCAAAAAATTCCAGCAGCAACAGCAAAGAGATCAGACTTTCAACTGGCATAAATTAAAATTCTTCATCAACTGATATAGACACACTTGGCCCAGAGCTGCTATTTAGATCCTCAGTGTGGAACCTAAGACAACCTCACAATGGATAAAAGCAAAGAAAACAAGAGGATCTTATGAGCTGCCATGCTATCCAAAGAGATCAACAGCAGTAACTTGCTCTTTGAGGTAGCTCTAAAATTAGGTAGAACAAGGAGGAGAGGTCAGGAGTTGTATTTTTAGAAGCTCATTCCCTCCAGTACATTCTCCCACACAGTCGCCTGGATATTCTTATCCTTCCAAAAAGGAGATAATTTGCTGCTGCTGAGTGACAGAATGGGAAGAGGAATAAAAACCTGTCACAAATAAATGCAGATAAATCACAAGTGTTGACATGACAACGAGCTTCCTGCCTATTGGGAAATGTGTCATTTCGAGTGTGTTACACCAGCAATCAAATATACTCAAAGAATGGCACCTGATTAATATTCACAAGGAGATGGTGGTGGAGAAGGGGGATAGCTCACTACCCATTTTCCATTTAGTCTCTTGTTTTATTTATTGTCATATATTTTACAATACAAGCCTATGTAAAAAAAAACCAAAAATAGACACAAATAAAATATCTTTAAACCTGTCTGCTTTAGGATACCAGATAAAGTTAAGTCTTGCTTTTTTTTCTGGCTTCCCCAAAGAACAAAATTTAAAATCCCTTTAAAATACATTAAAAATCAGGTAAAAAATGTAGCAGCAACCAGTTCCATTCCAATTTGTGTGCAACTCCAAGCGAGAAACAATCTCAAGTCCCTGCTCAAGCTTCTAAAAGGGTGCCATTCACAGAGCACATCTTCTATGTGAGAACAACAAAAGCCTCCATTAAGAGAGAAGAGCCTATCCTAACTTCCAGGCTATTATTGCCCTCTCCTCCAGAATGAGGTAATTTTGCACCTTCTGGGCAGCCACAAGGTGAAAGGACATTCACCCAGAGAGGCAGGTGACATGAGACATGCCTGCAAAGCCTTGCTTACCTTTCACTGGGAGGTGTATTGCCTAAGGGAGGTTGTTTCTATCTGGGCTCTACTTCCAATTTATATATTGTCCTATACAACACTAGAATTAAAGGCTTTGGGTGTTTTGGTTTTCAGGGTTCTTTTAGCGGGTTGGATTTTTTGTTACTTTTGGGATTTTTATAATATTCCACTGCAAAAGGAGTTGAGAAGGGCTCCCTACTTCCCAGGCAACATTAAAAACTTGCCATGCTTATAAGCAACCTCAGCCACTTCCTCAGCCCATCTGTGAATGTGGCAATATGGACATCAAGCAGCCTGGAGGGCTTGCTGCAGCTCAGATCCCAGCGCCCATGCCTCCACACAAACCCTTCCCACCTCACCCAGGATCAGGGAATGGCTTTCACAGATGTACAGCCATGCACAAACCCTTCCCACCTCACCCAGGAT